TACTCAGAGGTGCCTAATTTTTCCCATGCTCTGTATAGGAAATCTGAACACAGAACAAGAGGTTCTGAACTCCCCTTTAAGAACCAGTACCTTTCACTTCAGCACTCAGGGTTGAAGTGCTGGGTAACTAATTCCCATACTGGACCTGATCTTCAGGCTGTCACCTCAAAAGTCTATTTCAGAGCTACACTTTTTCCATTATATTTCCCTTCCCAGTGTATTTGGCACTGATATTTTTTTTTATTATTCCTTCTTACAAGTGCTCCATTATTCTTTTGGCTCTTCCAAATAGCTTTAAAATTAAAAGTTTCAAAAATCAAGTCAGACTTTAACTTGGGTACATTTTTTGTTTTGACCTGCTGCAGAATGCAGCCATTTTCCCATTACAGAAGCTTGACTATGCCTATTTTCAGATAACAAGCTAGATTGGAGTTGTTTTTCTAATCAAAAACATTTGTGATACAGTTTTATGCATTTCTCCAAAAGTCTGCCTGGATTGGAATAAACACATACCTTCCAGATGAAGTTTTGGATTATATTTGGAGAAAAACTGACTTTGGAAAATGTTTGAGGAAAATCACAGGAATCTTCCCCCCTTCTTTTTTTAAAAAAAAAACAAAACAGAACATTTTCAATACGATTGGCTTTTGGGGAGTTCAGTTTCTGACTTAAACTTCTACAGTTTTGCAGTGATTTCCTTAAACCTGACTGGTTCAGCATTCTGACAGGGAGCAGTAGGAAGGAGTGCAGTTCTTCATGACCAGAGATGTCTCACTGGTGTGAAGGACATTGGTAAGTGGGCTGTGGTGATGACACATGAGTTGCAGGACAGCAGTGAGGGCCAGAAGGGACGGACTGATTTTCAAATATAGTGTCTTATTTAAGAAATGAGGTTATATTTCTGACAAATCGAGGAATGGGTGAAATTTGTAAAAAACTATTTATAATTTGGATTGTGAAACAGTAATATTGGATTGTATGCTTAGAGGTCAGCCTCTTTCAGATCTCTAAATACTTTGACAGTCCTGTTTTTAACAGAGGAAAAACAGTGTGGGCTAGTGCTGTGAGTTATCAAGTTTGTTGGTTTCACCTGCTTCCTGGTGGACAGCTGTGTGTAGACAAGAAGGCTTCTAGGTGGGATTAGTAAATGGGAACGGACCACAGACCAAATGTTTCAATTTACAGGGATGTTTAATGGGGAATTTCAAGACAATTCCCAAACATTGGGACCTAGTTTTCTCAGGGAGCTTTGGGAAAGAGCATTCAGTGCCCTTCAGAATCACCATGCCCTGATACAGCGACCTGAATGTGTGCTGCCATGTGTGTAACCTAGAGCAGGGTTACTCTTTGCTGGCCCAGTGCTGTGAGGTGTCTCATCACGCTCTTTTGCTTGAATTGTTTTAATGGTGGTGACAGACGTTTCATCAAATTGTAGAAACTGACCTTGGGCTGGTGTTTCAGGGAGCATTTTTGAGGTGGTGGTAAGAGCTACTAGCACAGGAAGAATTGGCTATAGAAGAGTTTTCTGTAGTGCCAGAGCAGTCTCTCTTTTGGCCAGGCTGCAGCATCTCATCTGATCTCTGGGCTTGCCAAGACAGAGAGGAAAGAATTTTTCTTCAGTAGTTCAGAAATTACACAGGTGCCAGTATGTCCTTTCCAGTCCCTGTTCTGGAAGTGACTCCTCCATCTCCAGTTACATATGAGCACTGTAACATGCTTTATTACTTTTTCAAGCTGCAGCTTATTTCCCAGGTTCATTTGTATAATTTTCCTGGATTGAACCTGGTTCCAAACATAATAGTACGCTGGCTTTAGCCCCATTCAGCATTCAGCTTGAGAAGAAATTATAGGCACGAGCAGTGAAAGAGGAGAGGATGGGGCCTTGTTTTGGTTACAAGATCTAGGCAAACAACTAGGTAGTTTTTTGAACATTTGTACAATAAAAAGTATGATAGGGAATGGTAACTCACAACAGATGTAGTTCCAGAGGTCTGAAATCCTGTCAGAGGAAAGAATGGAAAGAAGGAGAGATATGTTTCCAGGTGCATTTCAAAGCCTACATTATCACACATGGATGGTGAAATTTTAATTGGAGATTTGAAGATGCCTGAGGTCAGGAATAAATGGCACTAAGAATATTTTTATTTTCCACTAATGCAAGGGATGCAAGAGAAGCTGTACCAGGTAGACAGAGTTTTATATTATTTCATCTCAAAACAAAAGCCAAATCATGACCTGAAGAAACACAGCCACTCTGGAGGAGGAGACAATAGCTGTTTCACTGCACAATAGATTAACACCATAAAACAGGACAGAGACCAAAAACCTCTCCTTATTCTGCATAAACACAAACAGTTTAAGAACAGAATATAGATAACTAGCTTTGCATTTTAGAGATATAATAAATTTGGTACTTCTAGATTTGTGGTAAATGTCCTGGGAACATTAAAAAGGTCAGATATCCAATCGGGTCCACATCCAACAGCACAGGCACACCTTCCAGATTTTCACTGAAAGTGATGAATTTTAACAAGCCTTTCTGGATTCCAAGTTTGCCTTAGTTTTTTATCAAAGGGCTGACCAGTTTATGCTACTTATCCTGTAAACCATAATAATAACAAATGGGGAAGACAGTGAGGATTTATACAGCTTTATATTTAATATGGGGAGTTTCTAGAAGGAGTCTGTAAGTAGGGACTGTTGCCCAGGCTCCAAGCTTTGGCCAAGCAGGTCTTGGCAGGCTTCAGAGAGGGTGGTGAAAAGGCAGCTTTAAGCCATCCTTGCATCATCCTGGGGCTGGTCTCCCTGACAGTGTGTTCCCTTGTGTAAACTGTAACACCAGCAGAGCTACTGAATTTTGCACTGGCTACCACTGGACCTAAGAAACTAGTCTGGTAACTAGAGATCCACGAAAACTAGGCTCGGCTCAGCCATTTTTAAACTGTATGTCTTTCACAAGGACTCAGGAAAGGAAGAGCCATTGCAGTCCTTGCAGTGGCTGCAGACCAGCTGAGGCTTTGTCGTATCTGCGCTGGCTGATGCGCAAGTAGCCGGCTGAGCTGCCTTGCAGACTCCATTGCGCTGATAATGTGGCAAAAAACTAGATTTCAGTGTCTGAAGGATCTGGCCCGTACGTCTGTGTGTGCATGTGCAGATGTGTGTGATGTCAGTGAATGTCCCCCGCTCCCTCCAAAGGTCACTCTGACTGAAATTTTTCACTTGCTTCAGAATAAGCAACCTCGAGAATGTAATGAAGGAAATGAGGTCTGAAATTTGTTTCCTAACATCCATGAATTGCAGCACTGAGCTAAGGGGAAAGCATTCAAATCCCTCTCTGCCCTCTTGGATAGGAATCTGTTTGTAGCTCCATAATAATCAGCAGACATCAGTGTCTGCTACAACTGAGTATTTTTGGTATCTAATTGGCACTTAGATACCAATGTGAGAGAAGCTTTAGAAATAGCTAAAGCAGATAAGTATTGCTTCTTTTCCTGTGTGTATGTCTGTATCGTCTGTGTGAAGCTGTGTATTAATGTGAAAAATTCCCTGTTGATTTTAATGGGATGCATCTCTCTGCAGAGCATTTGATTCATTCAAAGCTGCAGTAATGTATAGAAGGGATAATTTTTTTTCCTTGTGCCCTGAACATCTAGAACAAATTCCTGAAATATTATTTGTGCAGAAACTGTGAATGCTCCCAGCTTGCAAATGAAGTCAAACCCTTGTTAATGTTTACAGTAAAACAGCTGTTCTCAGCATCTTTCCCTGAGCCTCAGCTACTTTAGCTCTACCATACTCAGCCTTACATCATAGCAGCTGCAATAATACGAGGCTGAAAGAGGTCAGAAGCAGCCAGTCCTGCTAAACCACACCTTTGTTTAAAAGAGATTCTGGATCGTAAAGTATCTCAATTGCTAAATATTTTGGCCTGACTGGACTCCAAGCATGGGCTAGGTCTTCAAAGACCTAGCTCACCAAAAGCACATAGGCACTGCGAGCACAGAGTAAAGCAGAACACAGGGTCTTTATACATTTTCCTGGGAAAGTTTCTATAGATCCAGACTGGGAAATGCTCCAAGGCTTCATAGAACTAAAGATAACAGTAATAAAAAAATGGACTAGAGCATACTGACTTTTAAAAAGAAATAGCTGAGCTATTAAAGTTGCATTACAAATCCTTGATAATTTGTGCAGCAAGACTTTGCTAATTTTCACAAATAAAAGTAAGATCACTACAGATTATTGAATTTTAAGAATTAGCAGGTATGTAAACAAACAACATTCTAAGAAAAGAATAAACATCAGCATGTAGGTTTCTTTAAAGACTGTAATTTCTTTGTAAATATTTATGATTGCTCAAACAATAAATGCTACTGGATATGTTTTGTAAAAATAATTAGGTGTTAGCAGAATGTAAAATAGACCATTGCCTTGCTCAGTCTTCTTTTCGGAAGAGAGAGGCCATAATTTTTCTGCAAGTATAATATGGTCTGTTGAGCTTCTGCAGTGCCTACATTGTAGAAATACACAAATAAATAGGAGTTTAAAGTAAATTTAAGAATATTTTAACGTTAGATGTCCTACACAGGATTTACTGAAATCTTTTCTTCTGCTGAGTAGCAGTGGGAGATATGTGGGTTTTAGCACATAAGAGAAAATGCGTTCATTGCTGGTTTATTACCCAACATAGGAATTGGATAAAATATGTCATTTTTATTTTACTGAAAATGCAAATTTGAAAATCACAGTCAGAAGAAAATAAGATTTGTACAGTTGAAAAAAGATCCAAATAAATTTATAGGTACAAGAGGTTATTTTAGTAGCATTTTCACAGTTAAAATCAAGCGTGAACATTGCAGTCACATGTCATCTACTACCTGTGACACCAACAGCAACCTTGCCTAATCTTGCGATTCACAGGGCAATGTCACAGGCTGTCAGATGATGTCACTGATGTCCTAGATTATAGACTGTCACAGCTGGAATGCTTACTGCGTTTAGCAGATTCCACAGCATGTTGCCATCAAAAGGACTTAGTAAGGAATCTCAAATGTGCTTTCCAGTACGAGAAAGAAGAAGTAAGCAAAAGAGGCCACACAGAAGAATTTGTAGATTTCATTGATACAGGTACTTTTAGTTGATACAGATACTTTTAATCCAGGGGGATTAGAGATTTCATTGATACACTGGAAAGGCAGTGTATAGTGGAAATCACTGGGTCTAAATTGTAATAAATTGGACTGTAGTTTCAGTTACGACTCATAATGGTGGTGAATTACTTGCCTTGAAACAATTGTTTGAGACCCTAATGATTTCAGAGTGTAGTTGTATGAGGCATTGACCAGAGCAGTAAAATACATACCTGTTCTTGAAGAGCAAAGAGGCTAAATGTACAAAGACTAGGCAAAGGTAATGAGGTGTAATACTCAAGCAAATTATTTAAATGTACTATAGGTACATATGGTAGCTCCATGCTTTTATCACAAAATCATGTAGTGCCTAGGGAAGAACCACTGCCCTCAAAAAAGCAAGTGTATGTACCTTCATACATATATATTATGTATACATCTATAATATGTATGTATATATTTTTGTATACATAATCTAACACTGAGTGCTTTTAAAATATGCACATATCAATTACATAAACCTTTTGTAACTACACACTAGAGCTAAATATTACTTAGCTGTGTGCATTTTTCTTTGAGTTTCACTGGTTCATTGAAAGCATGATCAGTTTGTTTCTTCTGGCATAAGTTGTCACCTGAACACCTGAATAAAAATAATGTTTCTATTCTGTCACATAAAGAGAATATATTCTAGCTCTCTCGCTCTAGGTACAAATGTGTCTGTCACATTTGAAAGGCAACAGTTAAATACATGTTTCTGCTGTCAGAAATGCAGCAGTTAAACCCTAAATAATATCTATAGGATTAAGATCCAAGTACTTTACAAGAAATCTACATGCAGTTATCTTTCCACATTTCCTCTCTATCCCCTGTCATAGACTATGGAAGATAATATACGAAGAGCTCTAGTATGTATGCTTATCTCATTATCTCCATTTTCAGGTAAGTGGAGCAAACAGTTTCACCTTAGTAGATTTGTAGCAAAATAACACACATTCCTCTATGCTAAAGGAATGAAAAAAGCAGGACTAAGCCCAGAATGGAGGCAGAGGGGGAGAAATGGGAGGGTTTTCAAAAGAGTTTTCTGAATAATCAGGAAATCCAGTGAGACAAACAGAATGTGTAGAGAGCCAGCCAGAAATATAAAATTACCATGACAACCATAGGCAAGAACCCAGAGAGAATCAGGTAAAGAAATTACAGTAGAATTACAGTTAACTTCACTCTTTTCCTAATTTAAAAAAATAGTAATAATCCCAAGCAGTCAGGAAAAAATATTTCCTTGGCCTAGCTCATTATGGTGCAAAGGCTTGTGAAATGCAGCCTTGTTTGTAATTTTGAAATTACTTTGCAAATATATAGAGAGCTTTTATCTCGATTTGCATATGCAGATTGTTTTAACCAGCAGGATTGGATGTCAGAAACAAAACTCAGTATCACAGATGCTTTAAGTTGTTTGAAAACATAAACTAAAAGAGAATTCAGAAAAGGTAAAAGGTATGTGTGTGTGTGTGTGTATGTGTGTATAGACACACGTATAGTGTGTATTTCTGTGTTACTTCTTAAACATTCTGCCTTGTATGTTTTTCAAATGACTACTTTCTTCATTCAAACTTTTGAGTAACCCATTCACAACCAAAAAGCTTTAAAACAATGAATACAGTAAAAAAATACGTGAAATCAAAGTGAAGTGAAACTAAAATAAGTAAGAGTAGTGCTGTTTATTTAAAAAAGCTACAGGTTAACCATCAAGTGGTTAACCAGATTATTTGTTGAATTTGGTTTGAAATTCTGTTTATTCAGTTTTAATGTTTCATTTCATATAATACCATTCACATATATTGGAAAGATACAAGTATACAATTCTGAAAGGCAGAGACCCGGGTTTAGAGAAGGAAGGGGGAATTTGTTCATGTGGAGGGTGGTTGATTTTTTTTCCTGGTTTTGAACAAAGCTCTCAGACTGCTAACACTCAAGTATATAAATAAAATTCCCCCAATACTTTATCTTTCTTGTTTTATGTCCCTGTCTGAACGCTTGTTGTATTTTATATGTGCCTGTAAACATAGACACATGCCCATATCGATCTCTTTAAATGCTGCCCTGAAGTTTGCTGCATGGTGAGGGAGAGAGCAGTGATGCACTCCATTGTTCCCCACTATGATGTCATGCTCTGACTTTGCCTTGGTTAAACAGAATTCAGTTTACTGGACTGCAGCAAAATGTCTTTAGGGAATGCAAATTTATTGCTGTAGCGGAGATGGAAAGAAATAGCAAGTAAAAAAAAGACGACTTGGGGAAAATGGTATAAATTCTGGCTAAAATATTGGCTGCCTGTATTTTTTTCTACACCTCTACAGAAGTAGATGTGCACACTCATTTATACACACACACAAACTGTGCATAGCTCAAGGGTGTGTTTACTTTAATCTTGGGAACTAGGACAAGCTGAGATTCACTCTCAGGACTTGCATCGTCACTAAGATCGCTCTTAAACATGCAGTCTTACATCACACTGTTCTTTCTTTTTACTCACATTTACCACACACAGAGTCCACAAAACGGGTCTAATCCTGCTAGCTGTCCAGTGATGTTAATGATAGCTAAAGGCATTGGGCATGTTACAAGATCCCGTGGTAAATTAATTCATTTCCACCAGCATCTGAAAACTGTATGTGGGCATAGTGAAGGGAAGAAAGGGGATAGCTTTTTAATTGTGTTGGGAGATCCTGAGCTGGAAGAGAAATCTGAAGGGACTGAGTGGGGAGAAGGAGGTCTTTCCTCCTCCCTCCCTCCCTCCCTCCTGGCCTTCAAAAAAAACCAACCCTGGGGCCAGTCCTTCCCAAATAGGCACTGTTGGCAGGTATGTGTTAATCTTGTTCCCAGCACTTCGGAGGAGCCACCGACAGATGCTCACCCTGTCCTTTCAAACCAGCGCTTCCTGTCCTTCAAGAGTTAACCTTCTCTAGAACATTTATTTCACCATCTCAGGGAAGAAAAAAAAAAACGAAAAAAAAAAAACCCTGCAGAGCTGAGAGGCTGCAGATCACAAGGCCATTCTGATAGCCTCCTGTCCCCATGGCAACAGCAACGGCATTTATCAGTTCCTTATGAGAGCAGGCACAGCAAATCTGCATTGCACATGGCAGCCTTCCAGCCTTTCAAATGAAAGAGCACTTTGAACTGCTGCCAAGTGTGGAAGGAGCAGAGCTGTCAGGACTGCTTAATGCTGGCAGTTTGTACTTGGGAGCCTTTCAGTTCCCAGAATCCTTCAGCCGTGGCAGCCTGCCAGGTACTTAGCGGAAGCTAAAAACTAACCCCCAGACCATTCACTGCAGTGCACTCAAAATTTTCCACATGTACCATGTCACAAGTGCAGACTGTACAATGAAAGCAAACGCCTTCTGCTTGGGATTCTAATTTTATTAATAATCTAGGGAAAAGCAATCGGAGATTAGCTGGCTGACAGGACTACAGTATAGCCACTGTTAATAACTCAGGGTGTATATGTCAAATGTGTATTTCATCCCTTAGAAATAGAATCAGCTTGGACAACAGGGGCTGCACAGCCCTAAATCTACATGCAGTACCTGAGTGTGGGGAGATTAGTGTTAGCAGAAGGGAGAGTGTGGTTATTTACAGTGGAGATATTTTTTAGCAATCATTACCAAATGCATAGCAGTGAGACATGAACTAGAAAACTAAGACAGTATTGCTGGCTGGTAAATATTTTCTGTCCTTACCCTCTGCATTTTGCTGACATTGTGAGAATCTCGGAAAGTGGCTGATGAATGTAGCAAAGATACATGGCTCTTGGTGGGTTTTCTTTCAATGGAGAGTCTTCATGTGAACTTTTTATTGTTTTGCATTACCCAAAGCACAAGGGCTTCTGTTGGCAGAGGAAACAAATTGGCACAGTTCTGCTTTTTTTTTTTTTTTTTTTTTAATCTGCACTGAGATCAAGGGCAAGGGCTTCATTTTCCAGCACTAGTCATAAGCCTTTAGCACAAATAGAATGAAAATTGTCTGTCGCTCAGGCAGTTGGACAGGGTTCAGGAAAACTATGTCTGGCACTAATTCCAAAGGGAAGGTTTGGTTCAATCCAGCATCATCAATTTCAGTAAACTGTTTTCACTATTCTATATTCCATTGTTCAAGTGCTGTTTATTATCTTTTACTAAATCATGTCTTTTGGAGAGCAGAGTAATGAAAAATACCTGATATTACTTGCATACATATGTATACTCTCACATGTATGTATACATGGAAATAGATATGGAATACATGGATGTAATCTCATTTTTTTTACTTTTCTGTTTTTCTGAACAATTGCTTCTTACCTTGCCTTCCCATTACAAAAAACATTTATAATGCCAAATATAAAATAGTAAAAATAGCCCAGAAGGTGAAAAAGAGAGAGAGAAATGAAAAAAACCCTGGAGCAAAGACAATCTCCACAAATTCACGAGTTTCTCCACAAAACAAGGAAATCTAGTGCCTCTTTTTCAGCTTGCAGCTATCTTTGGCTGCTGCTTGAAGATTTGACTTAATTCACCCAGGCAGTAGTGTCTAAAAGTAATACACCAAGACAGACAATTTTGGCACTTAGTCTCCCTTAGGAATTTTACCAACAGTCTTTGTAAAGAAAGTAAATGATCTTTTTTTTCTTTTGGTTTCTCCCCATAGCTCATCTTGATATGTGCTAATAAAAGAAACTGCTCTCCCTCTTCTATTCTCACCATTATCCTCTGTCCATATCATCCTTCTTTCAAAAACAATGTTAATCAGCATTTATAACGGGGTTTTGGAGAAAAAGTGCTTTTGGTCTTTTCAGATGGCCTAGTTACAGAGGAAAAGGAGGTTATGCCGTGTGAAATAAGATAGTGTCAGGGCTTTTTCCTTTTTCTTTCATTCTCTTTCCTTCTTTCTTTCTTTCTCTTTCTTTTCTTTTCTTTTCTTTTCTTTTCTTTTCTTTTCTTTTCTTTTCTTTTCTTTTCTTTTCTTTTCTTTTCTTTTCTTTTCTTTTTCTTTTTCTTTTTCTTTTTCTTTTTCTTTTTCTTTTTCTTTTTCTTTTTCTTTTTCTTTTTCTTTTTCTTTTTCTTTTTCTTTTTCTTTTTCTTTTTCTTTTTCTTTTTCTTTTCCTTTTTCTTTTTCTTTTTCTTTTTCTTTTTCTTTTCCTTTTCCTTTTTCTTTTCCTTTTCCTTTTTCTTTTTCTTTTTCTTTTCCTTTTTCTTTTTCTTTTTCTTTTTCTTTTTCTTTTTCTTTTTCTTTTTCTTTTCCTCCTTTTCTTTTCTCCCCTTTTCCCACCTCCCTCATATTTTGGAAAACACAGCAAAGTTTTGTTCAGTTCTCAAGTGTTATTAATCACTGGTGGAGGCCAAAAGCAGGGATATTTTTCTTGGCAGCACGTTTTGATAAACAATCTGTGTATGGGGTGAAGGGAGGGAGGAGCCTGTCTTGCTGGTAACTAAGCTAATGTTTGGCAGATTCTTAACTGTCACAAAAGTGCAAGTGGCTCTCAGTGGGAATAGCATTAAAAAATGTACCAATTCAGTTGATTCATTGTTGTTGATTGTTTACTACATCCACAGGATGTAAGATGAAAACAGGCCAGGGATAAAGTAAAAATAACAACAGCGGAAGACCAAGCCTCTACATATCCCAGCCTAAAACATGCTGCTCAGTCTCTAGTCCTTTGTGGAGTGAGCAGAATTAATTATAGGTGTCTTATTTTGCTCTGTAAGATTTGGCAAAGGTTAATGTACAGAAATCTAGGCTCCCAGGCAGGTTTTCAAACCTCAAAGACAGCTGTAGGAAAATCAGTGTGGTGTGGGTCTCAACGAGGGACCACTCACTGCTTTGTAGGGCAGAAGCAAGAGGCTGGTGTTGCAGGGGGACAGCAGAGCTGCCCTCGGCTCCACGTTCCAGCACCAATGTGGAAATGGGACCATTAAAAGTGGAGGAAATGACAGGCAACACCCACTAAGAAATGTGTCTGCAAAGGAAGGAAGGAAGGAAGGAAGAGAGTTCCTAGGTGGGAAAGCAATAAGCTATGTGTGTCAGCAAGGCTCACTACCTGAAGAATGGTAGGAAAAAACCAGAATTATAATGAGATGAGAACTGAAACGATAAACAGAAACATGTAATTACACTCCTATTCTTTGCAACTGAGTGTTTTGACACTTCCTGGCAGCTCCTAGTAGAAGACAATGTTGTTTAACTTTTAATTTGACAAAATTATGCAACTTCTTCCTGAAGTGTTTGTGTTTTGATTTGCTGAACACACTCCCTTTACCACGGAGTGCTCTGTTCACTGCTAATCTCTGCATTGTTTTGAAGCCAGTCATTTGATTGTGATGGATTTTATTTTATTTGCTATTCTGAGGTAAATCCATGTAAATCACACTCTCAAGAGTGTGCTTCCCTTCTCATTCTTCTATTTTTTTCCAGCTGTAGCCACTGTTCTGACCAGTAAGGAAAGAGCAATTCCTGTAGGTGAGTGCCTGCAGAAGAACCAACTACTGGGACTGCTGCAGTGATCAGTGCCAGAACTTTGTAAAGCGAGCAGGAAAGAGTTAAACGTATTCCCAGGCTATGAGCATTTAGAGTCAGACCAGACCATTCATTCCCAAGCTGCTGACATCATAGGTTCCTAATTAGTACTGCTCGCAAATTTTGGGGCTGTCCTATATTCTGCATAATTAACACTGGACTGGTGATCGATAATCCACAGTACTCCTCTCTCATCCAGATCAACAGTAACCCCCGTGTTTTGGGACCTTATGCCTGGGAATGGCACGGACTAGAGCCTGGGGTGCAGCCAGGCACCTGGGTTTTGTCACTTTGTCCTTCTTGGTGTGTTGCACCCTCTGCTTCTCGTACCTGCTGGTAGCACTGGGAAAGGTGCTGGCTGGCTCCTGTATGCTGTGTTTTGTATGTTCATTTTGATTCCTTCATTTAAATCAAAGCTTCACCTGCTGTTTTAATATTACACAGACTTGTATGTGCATGTGCGTACTTCCAAATAAAGACAGTAGTAGGAATAAATAGAAAGGGATTATTGGATGGCAGTATTTATCCTAGGACTGCAAAGAAGAACTTAGTAGATTTAACTTCTGATGGTTAAAATTATATTCCTTCTCCCTTGGGACTACTGGCAGGTTGTAAACTTTGGGTAATCTCCACAGAATCCCTAATGCTGCATCCACAGTGCTGACTTGTGTTCCTGCACAAAAAGCAGTGACTGGGTAGCAATTGTTCACGGCTGCAGCTCCATGCCTCCTTGTGTTCCCCTCCATCTCATTAAACAAGCTACTGTTTGGGGGGTTCTTATGCTATTTTTTGTTTGCTCGATTCTTTCTTTCAGTTAGCCAGATTAGACACCTGAATGGTTTCATTGTTTGGGCTTCCTCTTTGCCTCCTCCAAACCTAATATTAATTCCTGGATTATTTCAGAGCTAAATAAACACCAGATGTGTTTAGTATAAATCCATCAAGAGCGATCTGGATCACTCCTGCCCCGCCACTTGCATGGCAAAGAGGAAAGGCAGAAGGTGAGCAGGAAAGCATGCTGCTACCCTTGCAGGGACAACGCTGCCGTAGATGGGACCTTTGTTACATTGACACTGTTCAATGTATTTTTCTTTACCAGATTAGATTGATACTGACAACTCGTTCCCTGTGAAGGTGCCACGATGTGGCATTTATTTGCATCTACATTGCAGTTCTCTTCATCAATCAGCTTTGCAGAGATCACTGCTGCTGCTGGCCATATTGTTGCTATGCTGACACTTCATCCTTAAGTGCTGCTTGTGTAATGGTACAGTACGTGCCCATGACCAAAGTTTAAATCAAAGTTTAATCATTACGGAAAGACAAACATATTTCCGCGACTGTGTATCCTGCAAGTAAGAGTAAAAGCAGTTTGGTCGGGTCACAGATGTTAATCTCTCCTCTTTTTCTATTCACAAACTATAAAGGGAGTTGACAGCACCTGTAAATGGTTTTCTGAGGCTAGATTATATCTAAGGTGATTATTATTTACACCCACTATAGAGACTGCTCTTGTGAGCCAAGAAGTCTGTTCCTGTGAGGTGAGTGTTACCAAAAAAGGGCTTTCTTGCAGGATTCAGTGGAGTGAGGAGACAGGGTGAGGGGCGGTTCATGCTCACACGGAGTGCCTTGTCATGTCTCGGGTTTGTATAACCCGGGGACTGAAACAGTTGGGATATGCTGCAGTTCTGCATTCCCAGACACACGGGATGAAGGGAAAGCTTCAGCTCTCTCAACCTGAGTTTTTAAAGCAGGGGCTGACCTTTTCCCACAGCCCAGTTCTGCTCTTCATATGAAGATCAATACAGGACGGTAAAAGGATAGGAAACGAGTTGACCTACCAGTATGAATCAGAGAGAACACATGCTTCTTTAATCAAGTAAAGACATATTAACATAGAAATCCTGCAGCCATTACTAAATCACTGTGGCTGGAAGCAAAGACTTTGACCAGCTTTCACGTGCCATACTTCTGTGAAGCCTCTATAATGTCCACGGTTTAGGTGTGAAATTTCTAAGTGTGAAACCCACTCTCCTTTAGCGCATCTTCTTCAGCCAATCTGCATATAGGAGACTCACATAATTCAAAGACTTTTCTATCTCTGTTCCCTGCTTCTACAAGCTTCCTCTGAAAGAGTCACTTTGTCAGAACTGATTTTCTAACTGTATTTTATTTCGTCCAACCATTTTTGTAACTTCAGCGTGTGCATTTCATTAAGCCTTCCTTGTAAACTAATTCCACTCATGTACATATCAAATTCGTTTGCCAGCTTTATAGATTATAACCAGACACATATAAAATGTTTTAGATAACTAAAAATGGAAATGAGATGTATTGGCGATACGAACCGAAATATTTAAAGCAACATTTTTTCTTGTGTGAGTTCTGAAACCTTATTAACCGAATAGAAAGTATCTTTCCTGCTCGGTGCTGCATGGCTGCTGGGCGTGCGTATGTAAGGGAGCCGTGGCACCGCGCCACAGAAACCGCGAGTCCCTTTAAAGCACAGAGGGAAACCTGTAATGGATGGGGATTTCGGCGTTTCTAGCAACAAAGGAATCAGGAAGAGGTACTGAAAGAAAGAAACCCATCCACCACAGCCCAGCTGGGAGAGGCTCGGCGCTCCCCCGCCCCTCCGCGGGCACCGTGCGCCGGCTGCGCGCCGGCGACGCGGTGCTGGTGACCGCCCGCCGCGCAGCGCACCGGGTCCCGGCCGAACCGCGTCCCCGCAGTGAGAGTTTATTATTCTTTGGACGCGAGCAGCGATGCCGATGTTTGCAAAAACAGCCGCCGACTGCAGCGAGAGCAAAAGCGGGCTGTGCAGAGCCCCTCCTGGCCACCGCAGGCACCGGCGTGGCCGCGGGGCCGGGCGGGGAGCGGGCAACTAAGGGGATCGCGGGCGGAAGAAGGCAGGCTTCGGGGTTTTTTATTTTGTTTTCCTCCCGGTGAAATGAAATCTCAGCTTATTTGCCTGAGTCGAAGTTGTTTTGAGTGATTTGCCTGTTAACAGCGTTATGCAAATGTTAGCTAGCTATTTAAAGGGGGAAATAGAAGAAGAAGGAAAAAAAAGCCGTGTATTCTCACAGCGCCGGGGAAATCCTATGTCCCTCTGCATTAGCGAGATGAGATCACAGCAATTACTCACCTGCTTGGCCTCTCCTACACCCTTGAGCAACGTACAGCACTAGCTTTCCCAGCCCAACCCTGAACACTTGGCAAATATGGCTGATTTAAACAAATCAAAAGTGGAAGAGCTTCTGATGCAGTCACGGGCTTACAAAAACTGTGTCATTCTGTCACCAGGATCACTGAAAGAGAAACACGAAATCGGATATTAAGGCGGGATCCCCCCATTTGCCTCAGCAGCCGGAGCGCACGGGAATCCCACCGACAGCCGCGGTGGCAGGACGCCGCGCAGCCGCCACGGAAGCAAAGCGGGGCGATTCGCGGGTTTACAAAATCCCGAAAGCGAGGCATCTGAACTTAGAAAGCGCAGTCGGGCCGGGGGGAGGGGGGGTGGCGGGGGGAGGAAAAAAAAAGCCCAACAAAAAAACCACCACCACCGCCCTCCATCACCACCACTGTGCATGCGCGCCCTGGCCGCGGTGCCGCGGCGGGGGGCCGGCGGCGCGGCCGGGGAGGAGGGTGAGGGCGCGATCTGGCGTTCAAGTTTCCAAACATAGCCGGCAGCGCGGGCTGCCCGCGCCCCGCCGCGCTCCAGCTGCGGCCGCGCCGGGGAGGGGCGCGGGCAGCGCGCCCCGCATGCGCGCCCCGCGCAACAAGTGGGCTCGGCGCCGGCGGCGGGGGGAGGGGAGGGGAGCGGGGCGCGGGCGCTCGGCGGTGACGCGGAGCCCCGCCCGGGTGCAGCCGAGCCGGGAGCGCGGCGCGGAGAGGGGAGGGGCGTCGCGGCGCGGGGGGAGCGCGGCGCGGCGGAGGGGGCGCGCAGCCACACGCGGCGGCGCGCAGCACCCCGCGCTCGGACTGCGAGCAGCGGCGAGGATGTGAGTGAGGAGCAGGCGGCGCCGCTCACCACGCTGCTGCCGCCGCCGCCGCTGCTGCCCCCGGGCTGCTACAGCTCCGGCGGCGCTCGGGGAAGCCGCCGCTGCCGGAACCGGACAGCTCCGTGCGGGTGCCTCTTTTTCGCTCGCGGCGGCGGATCGGCACGTACCGAACTGCGAGCTCACGAGGCAGCCGTGGCGGGTGGAAGGTGACCCCCCCATCTTCCTCCGTGCACCTCCGCCTCCTCCCGGAGGAGGAGCAGCAGCAAGCGGAGAGCTAGAGAGCGCAGGGAAACAGAAGCGGCTAGAAGGCGACCCCCACCCAGCCCCCCGGAGGAGCAGTGGAAGCGGTTCCCACCCCGCCGGGATAGCAGCGGCAGGACCAGGTAGAAGAAGCCGTCTCTGGCAGCAGGCGCGAATTAAAAGCAGGCGATCCCCCTGCTGAAAGGGGCAACAGGATCAGGTACGGAGAGCCAACCCCCCCTGCAGCCCGGGGGGGAAGACTGAACCAGCCCCTACCCCGGCGGCAGTGACAGCAGCTCCCCGGCCAGCAGCACCATGTCCGCCGCGCAGGTGTCCTCGTCGCGGAGGCAGTCATGTTACCTGTGCGACCTGCCCCGCATGCCCTGGGCCATGATCTGGGACTTCACGGAGCCCGTCTGCCGGGGTTGCGTTAATTATGAGGGCGCCGACCGCATCGAGTTCGTGATCGAGACGGCCCGGCAGCTGAAGCGGGCGCACGGCTGCTTCCAGGACGGCCGCTCTCCGGGCCCCCCGCCGCCGGTCGGCGTCAAGGCAGTGACGCTCTCCGCCAAAGAAGCGGCGGCGGCGGCGGCGGCCCAGCAGCAGCTCAACCATGTGGATGCCACCTCCAAGGCAGCCTCGGCGGGGCTGACCCAGTCCAGCCTGGACCGCTACGGGCTCAGCGCCGCCGCGGCGGAGCAGCGCAGCCGCTTTGAGTACCCGCCGCCGCCGGGCAGCCTGGGCAGCAGCCACGGCGCCCGCCTGCCCAACGGGCTGGGGGGGCCCAATGGCTTCCCCAAGCCGCCTGAGGACGGGCCGCCGGAGCTAAACCGGCAGAGCCCCAACTCCTCCTCCTCCTCTTCCTCCTCCCGCCGCGGGGCGCACGGGGGGCTGGTGTCCGGCCTGCCCCCGGGGGCCGCTGGCGCCCAGATGAACGTGCCCCCCAACCTGCTGCCGCAGACCCTGCTGAACGGACCCGCCGCCTCCGGCGTGGCGCTGCCCCCGCCGCACGGGGGCCTAAGCGGCCGCGGCGGCGGGGGTCCCCCGACTCCCTCCGCCTCCTCACAAGGGGGCACCTGCGGCGGCGGCGCCGGGGGAGGCGGCGGCTCGTCCTCCGAGGCCTGCGGCAAGCGGCCGGGCTCGGTGTCCAGCAGCGACCAAGAACGGGAACTGAAGGAGAAGCAGCGCAACGCGGAGGCGCTGGCCGAGCTCAGCGAGAGCTTGCGGAACCGGGCCGAGGAGTGGGCCAGCAAGCCCAAGATCGTTCGGGACACGCTGCTCACTCTGGCCGGTTGCACCCCCTACGAGGTGCGCTTCAAGAAGGATCACGCCCTGCTGGGTCGCGTCTTTGCCTTCGACGCCGTCTCCAAGCCGGGCATGGACTATGAGCTGAAGCTCTTCATCGAGTACCCTAGCGGCTCCGGCACCGTCTTCTCCAGCGCCTCTGGGGTGGCCAAGCAGATGTACCAAGACTGCATGAAGGACTTCGGCCGCGGCCTCTCCTCAGGCTTCAAGTACCTGGAGTACGAGAAGAAGCACGGCTCCGGCGACTGGCGTCTGCTGGGGGACCTGCTGCCCGAGTCCGTGCGCTTCTTCAAGGAGCTGGTGGGCGCCGACATGCTGCCGCAGCCCTACCTGGACGCCAGCTGCCCAATGTTGCCCACGGCGCTGGTGAGTCTCCCGCGGCCGGGGGCCGGGGCCGGCGGGGCGCAGGGCACGGCCGCCGCCTCTAGGGGACCTGGCGGCGGCGGCGGCGGCGGCGGGGCGATGCGCAAGAGGAAAGCCTCTCCCGAGCCCTCGGACTCGGCCGAGGGGGCTCTGAAGCTCAGCGACGAGCAGCAGCGGCAGCAGTGGATGGCCAGCCAGAGCGAAGCGCTCAAGCTCACCATGTCGGCCGGGGGCTTCGGGGCGGTGCACGGCGGGGGCCCCCCGCCGCCGCCGCCGCCGCCCCTCGGGCCTCACTCCAACCGGACCACGCCGCCCGAGTCCGCCCCCCAGAACGGACAGTCCCCCATGGCCGCGCTCATGTCGGTGGCCGACACGCTGGGCAATGCCCACTCGCCCAAGGACGGCAGCTCAGTGCACTCCACCACGTCCACCCGCAGGAACAGCAGCAGCC